TAACATACTCTCTTCCCCTTCGTATTGTGTTTACATATCTCAGTTGATACGTTATGCTCGTGCATGTTCATTCTATACGGACTTCATATACAGGAGTGTGCTCCTAACGCAGAAACTGCTCCAACAAAGTTATGAGGAGGAAAGATTAAAAATGACACTCCGTAAATTTTACGGACACCATCACGAATTAGCTAGTCCATACGATGTTTTTGTCCAAACTAACTAAGGACATTTTTACCACGTGTTAGATTGTGGTTTGACATTACGTCGTCTGATCTTTTAATTACCGAACGTGACTTATTCCCGATTGTGACTGTTTTGCTGAGTGTGAATTGTCACGGCACTTTTCTATCCAAAATTTATGTATTTAGTTTGATGTTATATTTGTTATTCTCATCGGATTTTGTCAAATGTCTTATCGTTTGTAGTTGTAAATCTTATTTTTTTCTGTTGTATTCGTGTGTTATGGTAAAGATAATTAATCACCCAGTTCATTAATTAGATTTTAGTTTGGGTCAACTAAATTTATACGATATATTTGGTTTACAGTTTGATTCAGAAGAAACACCGACATAGCTAGATAATACTATAAATTATCTAATTACTACCACATTTTATATTAATTAGTATTGTAATTTTCATTGTTATTAATAAATGTTATATGAGTATAATAAACCAAGTCTTAAATTCTATCCTAATTCAATCCTATTTTGGGAAAATTTCAGAAATTCAAATGTGACGTCACCCTTTTTTGCGTTGATCTCTTTGGCTAACTCGGCTGTGAATTTTTATGTCCTGGTTTATGTTGTTTTATGTATCCGTTTTTATTCTGTAGTTAGTCACCACCTCGGTGTCATCATGTATATTTATTATATTGTCATTTTTATAAATTTACTGTTTACAAAAGTATGAATTATTCTAAATACTAAGGATTTTGTTATCCCAGACATATAACCTTAGCCGTATTTGGCACAACTTTTTGGAACTTTTGGTCCTCAATGCTCTTCAACTTTGTACTTGTTTTGGCTTTCGAAATTTTTTGACCTGAGCGTCACTGGTTAGTCTTGTGTGGACGAAACGCGCGTCTTGCGTATTAAATTTTAAACCTGGTACCTTTCGTTAGCTATTATTCGTATGTTTCCCTGTCCTATATGTTCTCCCATTTATTTGTATTGTAGTCCTGTCATGTAATGTTGTCATTTTAATGTTATATTTAACATTGCCATAAAAGCGGGAGGTTTGGCTAGCCACAAAACCAGGTTCAACCCACCATTTTTTTCTTAAAATGTCCTGTACCAAGTCAGGAAAATGGCCATTGTTATATTATAGTTCTTTTCTGTGTGTGTTACATTTTAATGTTGTGTTTCTGTTGTGTCGTAGTTCACCTCTTATATTTGATGTGTTTCCCTCAGTTTTAGTTTGTAACCCGGATTTGTTTTTTTCTCAATCGATTTATGAATTTCGAACAGCGGTATACTACTGTTGCCTTTATTTTAGCATAAACTGTGACTCATAACAAAACTATGGACTTGTGTCCAAATTGGTACTCAAGGGAATATCTATAACGTATCAATAAACTTTATTGCCGAAACGTACATATATGTTGTCAATGGGAAAATAGAAAGTTTTACTCATAACATCATACTTCCAGTAAGTATATCTAGTATATTTATCTTTATTGTTACAGATGAAAGCTTTATAAGAGTAGCAGCAAATAATTTGCAGTCAGATTAAAAAAAACATTGAATCAAATAGGATAATAAGATCTGGATTTAAAATGATAAGAGGAAGTTTTTCACTGAGATGTGGTTATGTTAAAAAAAAAGACGTTTTAAACACTTATGAACCACATCAACAAACGACAACTATTGAACATCAGATTCCTGACTTAGGACAGGTGCAAACAATTGCAGCGGTTTTAAACGTTTTAATGGTACCAAACCTTCACCCTTATCTGAAACAATAGTGTAACATCACAACACAGAAAGACCCACTATAAAATATCAATTGAAATGGCTTAACTCAATCAAAAGACATATTAATACCAGTGAACATACACTGAACAAATAAATTTGATCTATGATACAATGTAAATACAAAATAAATAAACTAAGGGAAGAATAATTAAAGTAACATGTTATACCGCTGTGAAATGTTTAACAATTTAAGAAAAACAATATGCTTGAACAAAAATATCAGCCATTTGCAATCTCTTGCTTACCCTTCCGGAGCACCTGAGATCACCCCCAGTTTTTTGGTGGGGTTCGTGTTGCTTAGTCTTTAGTTTTCTATGTTGTGTCGTCTGTGCTATTGTTTGTCTGTTTATCTTTTTGTTTTTGGCCATGGCGTTGTCAGTTTGTTTTCGATCTATGAGTTTGACTGTCCCTCTGGTATCTTTCGTCCCTCTTTTGAACACAGGTAAATGGAAATAATTTTGTTGTTAGGTGTACGTGTACAGTTCAAAAAGAGAAAGGAAATATTTTTACAAAAATAAAAAAATTTGATGTTGATAGTACGAAGAAGTGAAGATTTGTAGTAATACCAAACACTTATCAAAGCTGGTATATAGACAAGATATAACCCTGAATAACATTAAATAACAAAAAAGCATTACAATTAGTATCAACAGGTCAAATAAACAAAAAAGTACGATTTGAGAGTACTCGCAGTTACTGACAGCTAGTTAAAAGCCAAAAACAATTAATAATAAAAAAATCATACATCAGAGACTAAAATCAACTAAAACACATCCCAGGGATTTAGTATTTTAACGTCATGGACAGTTAAAGAAGACATACTTGTGCAATGCCAAAAATAAATGTATCGACAGGCAGTAGGATAGTTAGGAGTTAACCTCTTTATAGATCAAAATGAACGTGGGTGTGTCTTTATACATCCCGTTTGAAAAGAATACAAATTTAGTTATGTTTTAATTTGCTGATGACAAAATCGATATTAGTGCCAATGTAAACTATATTCAAAGATCTAATTACAACATTGGTAAGATAACCTTTACTAATAAGTTTGTTTAAAGGTTCGATGAGTTTACATGGATCACATAGTGATTTCCGCGCTTTAAGTACAATATTACCGTAAAATTTAGGATGTGAAATACCGTTTTTAATCAGTTTTCTACAGGTACAGCCAAATTTACTAATCAAATTTTTATTTTTGTATCTATGAAAGAATTTAGTAAAAGTTTTACGTAATCTATGGTAACGAAATCCCTGACTTAATAATTTACCAGCATATATAAGCTTGATTCAAAGATGACATTCTCCTTCCTAGTGGAATCATTGGTTTCAAGTGCTCCAAGAGATGGAAGGAAAGTTCTTTTAATAAACCAAATAATTGAGTAAATCGATATATTCAGTATTACAGAAAGTGAAATTAAAGGGTTTTATTTTATTTGGTCTCTCATAACAATTTTAAAAAATCTGCTCCACATGAGTTCAAGCACGAATTGTGTAGTAGAGGTGCACAATTAGAACTGATCAATTACAAAATATTTCGATCATGTATTCAGGTTCCTTATATAATTTCCTTTTCGTTCGTTAAAATTATTGACAACTTAATTGACAATATAAAAGGCCAAATATTTTTTTTTAATTAACGGCGGTCAAGTATCGTGTTGGGATATCAAGATCTTTTATCGAGAACAAACTGGAAAGGTCGGCATTCCATTTGATTCATAGATTTATAAGTCTTAGAACAAGTATTGGGAAAGTAATCATATGTTGGCAAAATGATTCGATACCTTGATCAGTATCTGACAGAAATCAAAGTTTACTTGTTTTACAAAAACTACATCAAGCATATTGCTCATCAACATTACAATTACATACAAAATATAAACTTAGATGTTTTTGCCAGTCATCATATGAATAGAAGGAGTTTCTTATGTATGAACAAAGTGTTGTGTTCTAGGCTCCTTAAATTGTGTCGTAATTATTGGCAAAAGCTAAATCGTTATATATCTATTTAATATTTCTGATTATAAAAGATTAGTCTTTATCTATTGGTGTTGTATTTTTCAGACTGTTATTTCTTGTCATTTCGTCATTTTTTTTTGTTTGCCTTTTTTCATCGCGTTGTCAGTTTGTCTACGTTGTATGAGTTTGAGTCTGCTATCTTCCAACTCTATTAAATAATTCTTGTGGAAAATCGTAAAAGATCTTGTACCGCTTATGAATTATTCTGTAAACATAAATGGCAATTTAACGTTGTAAATTGTATAACTGAACCAATTCATCTACACTTCAGTTTTTGGAATAGGGCTTCGATAGTCATGAAATCTTACATACGACCCCATTAAAACACCAAACAAAGTTACAAAATATATCCCGAGTGAACAAATAGTGCCTACCTGCTCTCATTGTAAGTATACCAATAGGTATAAAAACATTTTTTTGTTTTTATGATTATGTTGTACACTCACTGCCTATCAATAGAATGCTTTGCTTTATCTATTACAACCTTTTATAGTTAAAACTTTTTTCTATGATTTTTCAAATAATCTGACGTTTTTTCGTGCCATAAATTAATAGTACTTTACTGTAATACCTCAAATCATACGATTTAGCTTTAAATAAGGAATGATGTTTAATAGATTCTAAAATGTATTTTTTATATAATAATTCACGTTAGGATATGTGTTACCTCTTTCTATTGTTACCTTGGTGGGTTGTATTATTGTGTAATAAATGATTGATAATTTTGACTTGCATATTTGTTTTATATCTTTTTGTGCTGTCTTCTGTATCATACTACAGATTTTTTCAAAACGTTCTGAAGTTAAATTGTAATTACTTGCATTCACGATCCAATGCCAGATTTTTCATGATTCGATCGCAAGATTTGAACGCAGTTATGTATTCTACAATTTTGTCTCGATATTCAGAATTTATGGTTGTGACTCAGAGGTTAGGTTAATTTTTGTATTTGTATTTGAACAAATGTGATCCAAATAGATTTTTTCTAGTATTTTTGTTTGATTTCAGAAATGCCCTTTAAGAACATGGATGACTCTTGGTGTAATCGGTTTGTGTATAATTGGTGTAGCGACATGGATATTCCACAACAAATATTTTTTGGGTATGTTTACCAATTCAAGATCGAAAAGTTCTCGGGGAAAATCAATGCAATAGACACAACATCATGGGAAAAGACCAAACGGGGTTTCAACACTCTCAGGAGATAAACATATGGTGTGGCTCTGAACAGCAACTTACACATATTGCAGCCATGAACAACAAAAATTCATAACGTGAAATCATGAAATTATTTGGTGAAATTGTGATCATGTGTTTCAAGGTTTTTTGTTGTCTCTTCATTTGTGACAGTCCAGGCATGTATCAAACATTATTTTAAAGCATTGTTCTTACATTTCAAATTCATATGAATATCGAGATGAAGAACTTATTCAGACTAAATATTATTTTTATCATTTTTATATTCGACGTTGAAAATGCAGCATCTACAGTTCGTTAATTGACTGGAATTGTCTGAAAAGTTTTAATTCTACTTCTATAGTCATGATCTCTTCTGTAAATCTTTATTTAGAAGATTTTTAAAATTCAAAATGTATTACTTTCAAACATTGATATAGTGATTCCAAGTATATCACATGTTGGTATAATTTTAGATTTTCCTTGTTCCAACTTGAGTTTTCAGTCGTTTACTTCTTAGAATAGATGTGAACTGATTCAATCAAAATAGAATGCTTCGTCGTCGTCTCACAAGCTATATAGTGCTTTTGAATGAGACCGTATATGTTTGCATGCTGATAACCGTATAAAACTCTTCCGTGGTTTTATAAGCTTTATCTGATTTATGTACGTTTGTATTACCATGATGTGTAGGTTGATGTTACGTACTATACGGATATTTTTTAAGGAGGTCCAAATGTTCAAGGAGATTATTTCTTTCATTATTTGGTTCGTAAAGGCTTTCACCTGCCACCGTCATTATTTTGTTTAATATATTTAATATATAAGTAGGACTCACATCCATGGCAGGTTCCAGATCTATAGCAGAGTCCCAATATATGGTAAATATGACGTCATTTCATTCCAAATTTATGGCAGATTTTTTAGTGACCTAATCTATGACTGATTTTCTAGTTTTCAAATGGCATGATATGAATTCGACACCCGTCGCAATATCCAAAGGTAAAGAAAAAGCCGGTAGTAAGTAAAAGTCAGTATTAGAAAAACGTATTAGGAGTACGACAACGGGAGCATATTCCTAACCATCTGAATTGGGCCAAATCGTGATGGCGATCATAATATTTCCTAAATGAGGAAGTGATATACACTGAAACAAACTTTAGAAGTGAAATGATGTGCCCCCGGAGGATAAGCATTCCCCACTCTGTACATCGTACATGATACTTTCACAAAATGAAAGTCCAGTAACAAACCAAAATGCAGTCTGAATTAAAGAATTAAACAATTTGCATATTTACATAATATTTTTTGGGGTGTTAATAAATCTTTTTTAACTAAAACAATTTAAGTCAAAGTGGTATCCAGTGATTCCCTCCCTCAGTTTATATACTTTGCCAGCCGTAGATGCTATAATATTAACTATAATTCCTTTCCTGAAACATTTGCCTCTAAAACTGTGTTGCCTTTTTTCGTCGCGGGATTAGGACGGTACGGGATATATTGTCTCTCATCTGGTTAAAATGGCACATCTTTCTTTAATCATCAATTGTTTAATTGTGACGATATAGTTTACTCTTCCCCGGACAATTATGTAATTTCAAAATCTGCCATAGATTTGGAGAAAACAAAAAACTGCAATAGTATTTTGATTTGTATGGCGCTTGTGACGTCATATTTACCATAGATTTGAAATCTCCCACAGATCTGGAACCCACCATAGATTTGAGTCCAACATATATATTTCCTCTTAAAATTTTCTTGTGATATTTTTGCTGCCTGATACTTAATTTCTGGTACATTTATTATCATTATACTGACGTCCTGTAAAATATTGTTTAAGGCGTTCTGCTATAGTGCTGCTTTATCTTATTCGAGCTTTATTGAGAAAACATACTCATGCAAAAATGTTATTAATATTATAGATCTTTGATTTTGATGAATTTAATATTCGCTTCATAGGTTCAGATAATGCGAATGATCCTGCTTTTTCTATTCAATCTCTACACATTCCGGGTAAGTTATTTCATTATATAAAACATACTAAACAACATACAATGTATGATTTACATATTAAATATTGTTACATCTATGTAAAGAAATATACAGTGAACTAACTTTAGAACAATCAGGGCTTTCGAAGTAAATAATGTGTAATGTATAGCTAACATAACTAGAATCGGACGCATTTGTAATAGATGATAGACCATGGTATCTCTTTATAACAGACTGTGTATCAATTGAAAAATATCGTAACGCTTCAAACGCATTGTATGTATGCCACACATAATACTTCAGATACTGAAACATAGTATGAATAGTGTCACTTGAGTCTTTTTCTCTTTTAAGTTTACAGAAACATGCATTGATTGAAGGATTTGTATACACAATCAACACTGCAAACAAAAAAATAAGTATCATATGAAAAAATTGAAAAGGAGAAGGAATGATAAAACCATTTTTTTGTTAACTCCTTCAATTCGAAAATCATAAATATTATAATCGACATTCTTCAGAGGTTCATAAGATATTATTCTGACATGAATTAGATTTTATAAGTTTAGAATTTTGCTTGAGATATTTGCATTAGAACATCAAACTTTTGAATTTAATGCAAAACTGCAAAAACTGCTAAAATTATACCATTTTGAGTGTTATAATCAATTTTCAGATATCATTAAATGCTTTACCTAAAAAGATGTATCGCTATATAAATACTTACAAAGATGTTAATGCGTTTAACATATCTCTGTTGATTATGATTTGGCTCATATCTATTATGTCCAAAATGTGTAAAATCACCATTTTTGGTAAAATATGATATGTTTGTGAAATCCTTTGAATGAGATTTGTTTTAACTTTGCCAAAGAAACGACAATAGTTAATGTAGTCCTGCATTGAATGCCTACATGCAAAATAGTATAGATAATTGTGTCAAACACAATAATGCTTGATGTTTTTAATGTATATTTTGTTCAACATCTTTTACATATTTTCCGGGATTGGTGCGTATCAGGCATGGGGCAAATTACATTGCAATGTAATGCATTATATTACAATTACTTTGACAAAACCATGCATTAAATTACAATTACAATTACATGCATTTATCAAAGTAATGCATTAAATTACAATTACTTTTGCAAAGTAATGCATTGAATTACACATTACATTTGTAAATTTTATTATCAAGTGAAAAGAAAAATCAAACATTTTGAAAAACAACACGAAGTCACAATAGATTCTAGCATATGCAGTAAGTTAACTGTTCCATGAATTGAATTTAAGTATACATGTAAAAAGTCTATTTAATACGATTATTACATTTTAACATCATAAGGATTTCGAAGGTTTCATGTGGAATGATATTTCTGACTACCCGACTGTTTCACAAAACCTATCAAAGTTGATTGCTCTTCTATCTTTAGTTTTAATGTTTAAAGGTATACATCTCTGTGTTTTCTCGAAAAAGAAATTACAGAGATGAAGTTTAATACTTATTTTAACTCAATGTTAACTTTAATTTTATAAATATACATTTGTTTTTTTTTTAATTTCAATCAAAATATTTACTGAGAATTTCTTTCCTAATTATAAAATAAACATAGAGCTTAATTTATGACCAAGTGACAAAATGGTGAAAAGATTGATTGTAAAACAAACTAATTAGTGTTTTATGACAATGTTCAATAACCTGTTATTTAATCATGTGATCTTTTGACAACAATGGAACACTTTTACAGTAATGCTTTTCAAATATCAATCTTTTTATGCAGGAAAATGTATAAAATAAAATGAAAAAAAGAACTCAATCTGATATACAGTGTTGTATTATTCATTTAGAATTGTAATTTGCTCATTCTAGTATTTATACCACTTTCTTTTTTTCTTTTCAAGTTCTACCTGGGGAAAGGCATAATCTCCGAATTCCCTCTAGTGATTTATGTAAAGTGTAAAAAATCAATAGAAAATAAAAAAATCAATATACAAATGACTATGTTCTTAGTTGATAAAAAAATCTTAAATTCTGCTGTAGTTTAATCTCCAACAATCTGTTAAAGATATATAGTATGTGAAAAAAGTAATGCCATGTAATGCAATGTAATGCATGAAATTACACAACTTTTTGGTAAAGTAATGCATTTAATTACAATAACATGTAATAAAATTGCTGCATTACACATTACATGCAATTACTTGGAAAAATGTAATGCATTACCATGCATTACAATTACAAATTTGCATTACCCCATGCCTGGTGCGTATCGTTGTTTCTAATATACCATTTTTACTGTTGTTTTTTTTTATATATGGAGTTCAGTAAATGCAAAGAGGGATGGATTATTTGAATTGCGATCATCCCCTCCTCCCACCTGTTTTTTTTTTTTTTGGTTGGGTTCGTACGCGTGTAGCTCAGTCTTTCATGTAGTGTTTTGTAGATTGTTGTGTTCGATTTCGGTCTCTCTTCGTCTTATGACGTTTGAATCTTCTTTTGATGTCTTGCGCCTCTTGAAAGAAAATACAGAATTCAAGTCTGAACTGTATCGTAAAAGGAACTTCGAATCTCTAGATTTGTGAATTGTAAATCCAATTACTACGAATGTCTTATCAACAAATTAGGAATAAATGAATAATCGGGTAATCCAATGTACAAAAACGTTACCTTTGATAATGATCAGATCTTAGCAAACTAAAAGTCCTTCAAGGCCTCATTGAGTATTTCAATGAACAACAAATATGAGGACTTATATTGTTTGTATTGGTTACCTAAACTTTACAAGGTTTTGTACGAATGATTGGGTCCCACAGATTAAGCTTCCTCCGCATCATTTCTAGACATTTACCTAGAATTTGATAACAGCGATCATCTCAGTACCAGAATCTATCAGAACGAAATCAAAACAATTTTCCTCATCCAAGCAGCAATATATTCCTTCACCTGCGTACCGAGTATACATTCCTTAATTCATACGATATTTGAGAGCTTGAAGCTGCTACTTAGACTGCTTGCTATTCGGTGTGAGCCAAAGCTCCGTGTTGAAGGCCGTACTTTGACCATAATGGTTTACTTTTATAAATTGTGACTTGGACGGAGAGTTGTCTCATTGGCACTCATGCCACATCTTCTTATATCTATTTGTCGAAGGTCATTGGTGTCCGAGTAAAAAATTAATGAGACAAGGTTTTCTCAAAAAGTTCATCGGAAAGTACCAAGACCTAATAGATAAATATTCAGTGTGTACTTCACAATAATACAAGATGGTTTTGAGTTCTACATGTAGAAATTGTGTATCTTTTTATTTTACTTTAGTGTCCCTTTTTATTTATTTTTTTGCTTTTATATTCGTATTACTTTTGACGTATTTATGCATCCCGCCATCGAGTTTTTTACTTTTTAACTTTGGGTATTCCTGGTGGCGGTCGGTTCTGAAGTGCAATTTAGGCACAAAGGGTTTTTACAGTGTTGCTTTTATTTTGACTACCCTCATATTTATATTTAAGCTTTCTTGCTTCAACCCAAAGAAACTACCACAGGTTTAACATTCACTTGTTTGAGTCAGCAAGTAGCTCATGTATTTTACATTCTATTGGGCAATGCATAAATGAAAAGAAAAACAAGAAGGTGAATTGCGAAATTTTACTTATTCAGACATTGTACATATACATTTGTAAAAGAAGATAATTATGAATGAAACACATGAAACGACAATACTATAATACAGAATACAATTTATCGAGAAAGTGTAAGCTATATACGGTATTCACTATCAACGACAAATTTTTTTTTTGTTGACGTCGTTGTCAAATTGAATATTTACTACACCTTTTTTGTAGGCGTCTTTGATAGATTAATAAGTGTATTTTTTTTTTGCATTTTTTAGTCAGTTGTGTTGCATGTCTGTGTTGTATGTTTATGCTGTTTTTGCAGCTGGATCCCAATTATTGTCACATTAACATATTATGTGTGTTGTGGTTACTCACCAAATTTTGTAAATATAATGGAACTATAAACAAATGTTATAAAAGTGAAAGGTTTAGCTAGCTTTAAAACCAGGTTTAATCCACCTTTTTCTTTGGAAAATGCCTGTAGCAAGTCAGAAATATGGCTGTTGATTTTCACTGGTTCCGTTTATTGATAGCTGTAAATTTTGTCAGTTTTTATGGACTTTCCTCTTTTTGTATTTGCCTTGGAGTTTTTTCATACTTTTTTGTTCCATTATTAATAACTAAAGATCAATTTCTAAAAAATATAGGTCACTTAGGAAAATAATCTACCTGCGCTTTTTACAATTTAGAACACATATTATGATGTGCACTTTCAAAAATATAAGCCAAATTAGGGTTTTGACCATGATTTCGTGGTACACTGAACATGAAAATATGATAGATAAGCTGTGCATAGTGTCCTACGAACAAATATGTATGTTTTGTTCTATTTGTGTGTCCCTTTCGACTAAAGGAGATATACTGTTTAAGTAGTATTTCTTCTTCTGGTTCTTCAATTTATAAAAAAAAAAATCTTGGCCTTTTGTAATCTTTAGCATTGACTACTCCTATTTTGTATGAAGGTGTATCATCAAATCAAGGTGTGTCGCGGATTTCTTAAAACCTACATATGACCTTGACTTTGAACCATATTGTCAAACTAGTAGAGTTTCGTGGACATTTTCGTGTATGTGACATGATCTTTATACCTTGACATATGGTTTTGATAGTTGGTACATGGGTGCACCATCTAAAGAAGATGTGTCACCTTCCATTGAGCGCACTTATTGATTGTTAGGACATCATTATCCACCCAAAAACCATCAATCTGCTTGTTTGCCATGACAGGACCTATCAGTGCACCGAAAGTCTTAGCCCTGTAGATCGATCCCTGTCCCGTTTAGATGGTGTCTTTTTTACACTTATTATTTGGCTTAGTGTGATTTTTTTTTCTTTTCAGGTCAGTGTGAAAATGATATCTCTACTGCAACGATTGGAGAACAAATATGTATTTCTTATACTAGTACACAGAAAGTTACAAGTAGCCCGTCAAGTATACATGTCAGACAGTTGACATCACAATATTTTAATGCACTTGAAGTGTTTGATGTCAATGTGTCATCTGATAACTTTGTGCAACAAAATGGGGATTGGATAGTCAACTACAACTCTTCAAGAACTGACAGACAATTTCGCTTTTTCAAGGAAACGGCTACATGTGACAATATTGGAATTTACGAAATCACTATAGAACATGATGATGGAAATATTACATCCGCCGAAGTTGAAATAGGTTTAAAAGGTATACACATTAATAATAATCATAATAATAAACAAGTGATAAACATGTATAAAAATCATGACAATTTATATAGATCACGAAAAAATCGAGAGATCTCTAAAAGTTATATATAATTGAGAATGGAAATTGGGAATGTGTCAAAGAGACAACAACCCGACCAATGAGCAGATACAGCCGAAGGCCACCAATGGGTCTTCAACACAGCGAGAAAATCCCGCACCTGGAGGCGGGCTTCAGCTGGCCCCTTAACAAATGTATACTAGTTCAGCAAAAATGGATGTTACACTAAACTACGAAACATATAAATCAACAAAAACTTTAAAAGCATTCAAGACTAACAAAGGTCAGAGGTTCCTGACTTGCGACAGGGGTATGTTTATTTATAAATTACAAGAATTGTTATAAAGCTATAATGGCAGCCAAGGTTTTGATTTAGCACGAATGATATTTTTCGAAATTAAACACTCAAATAAGGATGCAATAAAGATAGACAAACAAAATAAGAATCAGACTCTCTAGGAGTTCTAAAAAAACCGTTGGTACTGTTAGTGATATATTCAGGAAACTTTAAATGCAGACACATTCGGTAATTCATACTTTCATAAGTGCATATGATTCCTTTTGTTAAATTACCATATCAAGCTCGGTATTGCCAAACTCAGTCTCATTTTTATTGTTATCAGCTGTTATTGACTAAACCATGCCAAAAATATACAAAAGGTCATTTTAAGGAGTCTTTTTCAATTCCTCAAAAATATTTTTACCTTTTATTAAGCTCTAATTTACCACGTTTTGACAAGTAATGGGTAGATAAAACAAAAACTACCATCCATCTTTTATTTCGATTAAGATCTTTCTATTTTATGTACAACATAAACAAAAATGTCCAATAATAACTAAGAACCAATTGGCATTCAAGTGGGAGGTTTAGCTAGCTATAAAACAAGGTTTACCCACCAGTTTTCACAGATAATGCCTGTAACAAGCAAGTCAGGAATATGTCAGTTGTTTTTCACTTGTTCCGTTGATTGAGGAGTTCCTTTTTTTTGAATTTGCCATGGAGTTCAGTGTGTTTGTTATTTTTTTTCCCCAAGTCAGGAGCCTGTAGAACAATGGTTGTCTGTTAGTCCTTATCGATCATAGTTGTTTTTAGTTAACTCTCTTGTTACAAATTATGCCATTTGTTTTCTCGCTTAAATTATTTCACATTATTTGATGTCGGGACCTTTTATTGTCAATAGTACTGTATGGTGTTTTTTTTTATTGTTGAGACATTCAAACTAAGTCGAAAATAAACGGACAACGCCATGGCTAAAAAAGAAAGACAAACAGACAAACAACAGTACACAATACACAACATAAAAACAAGACGGAGCAACACGAACCAAATTTTTTTCTAATTTATGACAGTTGAAATTATCAACCGGTGGCAGCTACTAACAGCCAGAAGCAAATATTACATGCATATCAGGGCGTGAACATATTAATATGATAAAATGAACCCTGCTTTGTATTTTATTGACACGCTTAGCAATATTTAAAATCTGCTTGTTCACAAAGTAATTTCACAGGCAGACATCTCTCCATATCCAAAAAATATTATTCTGACTCCTACTCTAACTCTTAAATAAACTTCAGACTTTTACTCTAACTCTTCAATAAACTTCAGACTTTTGTTTGAAGCGATTCGTGATTCAACCCAAAACATCCTACACTAGAGGCAGAGACAACGCCACAAAAGACACAATCTTCCATATGGTTTCTTAAGACATGGGTGGTATTTGAGTAGTATCTGAGTATTGTTTACAAATATTGAATTTCAACCTTCTGTAATAAAAGTATTAGTAATTGAATGTGTTTGTTAACGCTATCTTTTACAAATGTATGAACAGGTCTTTTTTTTTTATCGTAGATCCAAAGCTACAACACAGCGTAACCAGAATTAATGACAGTATTCATGTTCATTGTGAAATGACGAATACTTGCAAGGCCAGATATTTAGACTTGATTGTCAACAATGGGGAATCGTCACGTTTGATACCTACCATGAATGAATGTGGTAATAACGATAAGAAAAACAGCTCAACAATATCAGCTGATGTGATAATTCCTGTATCGAGGTTTTCAGGAAATCAGACCATCTCTTGTGTTCCACTTATGACAGACCCGGAACTTGCTGCCAACCTTACATCCACTATGGGCATACCTGTCTGTGAAGGGGCTGGTATGTATTATTTTTATGATTTTCAACATCTGTTAGTTCTGTATACGACTTCTTAGTAAAGGCAGGACATTTTTATAAGTGACTGTGTCATAACGGAAAATTTACAAACGTATACATTAAATAAATTAGCAAAGGCCGCGCATTTTGTTTATTTAGGACTAATTTATGTATTTATTATCATGATTGAGCTGACAAAATATCAGAATGCATAAATTAAGATTAAATTTTTATTCAACTAAATTCAATGTAGGTTGTCTCAAAATAAATCTGATTTGAAGTTTGATTAGTTGGGAATAAAATGATTTATCTTTGTGATACTTTATTTTACACAAGTTTGCAATCATTTATTTAAAGTAAACGTTTAATGTTCGAATATAATTATGTTCATTTAAGAATTGAATGCTTCTTTTTGTAAATTCACTGGGGTGTAAAAGCGTTGACCGAAGTAAATTTTTTAAGAAGCATTCAATACTTATAATTACATTTTTTCGCTATGATCATGAAAACACGATTACTATCATTTTTTTCTTTTATTTACCTGTGCACTTTATTGTGGAAACGTGTGTCATCATGTATGTTACAATTCATGAAATTCATTTTGAAATGAAGAATGACGCGAGATTGCTGTTAGCCAATCAAACTAACGTATAATAATGAAACATACATCTAATGTAATTATTTATCTATATAGACATTCATGAGAGACAGAGCTCATTACATGTTCCTCTTTTACAGATTGTGTACCTAATTGCAAGGATGATCCACATGGTATAGCATACTTTCAAGACAAGCATATATGTAATATATTTTACCAGTGTTCAAATGGAGACATTATTTTACAGAACTGCTCATCATCAACATATTGGTCACATAGCGAGTGCACTTGTGTTCATTTTGATGATGAAATTTGTGACGGGAAAACATACAGATTTTTTCAACCCGCTATGTCTTTTGAAAAATGCACCAAGGCATAGCGGATGTAATATATGATCAAAGAACCAATTTAACACAATGAACAGAGTATACATTGAACATCGGTTTAAGAAATAAAATGACCGTATTCTTAGTAATATTCGTCCAGAAAAGTGATGTTATAAAGAAACAGTGAAATTTGTTTATGTAAGTTGGACACCGTAAGACATATTCCTTTACCTGGCTCGAAAATGATTTTTCGACGAAAATCAAAACTTTACATATCCCATAACAGCATAATTTAACTTCATCTGAATTTGTATCCTTTGTTTTTTTCTTTTTCCAATACTTTAAAGAATATTTATACAGAAACATTATATGATAAATAGAAGTTTGTCGTGTTGACTGATTTATTCGTTATTGATAAAATATATTGCGAAATGACATGAGTTTTGCATTGATTCAGAAAATATGAATAAATCATTGTTCTTTCTTAAAAAAGTTAATTATGCCAGAATTACTTACTGAATATGTGATTAGAAGACTATAAGACCTGTTCTGTCTGGTTGCTAGGATCATATTCTATATATAGGGATAATAACGCATTTCTGCATCCCAGTTTCATATCAATGTTATTTTCACATAAAAGTCATTCATAACCTGGCTTCATTTCATTATCATTGAGGCACTCTTGTCCCACTTATAAAGTGAAACTGAATTTTATCTGGTAGAATAAATGTCGTTTCAAAAAAAACAGACTGATGGAGTGCTTGTTTTCAATATACCCGAATAATAAGGTTGATTTCGTCAATCAACCATCTCTTATTGCGTTTTCAGAATCCTTGGTCGAAGATTAATGATATTTGTGAATTTATTACTTTATACAGTACGCGCCATAGTAAAGACATTTAGTCAAAAAAATTGTCATTGTTGTTACTCTGTCATGTGTTGTAGACTTATATATATGTGTGTGTGTGTAATTTCTACCGTTTTGTCAATATTGTATTATTTGCTATGTGTTAATATTAGATGTTTGTTGTTTCAAAATATTTCGAATGTTTGGATTGTTAACCGACGAAATCTCGTCTAATAAATTGTTACAATTTGTATATGTCTGTGATAGCCATCTAGTGTTTAATATTCAGTTCTTAGAATTGTTTATGGTGGAATAAAGGTTAAAATCAGGTCTTCTTTGTCAATTGTGTTGTTTTTGTTTTCTAATTTTATAATGAGAACAGCTGAAGTTGTAGTAATTTGACCCAATATGATAATAAGATAAAACAATATAGAAAATACAAAATGATAATAACTTAAAAAGAGAAAAAATATCTATCTAACGAAAATAAGACACATGTTTGTTGTTTGTCTTAGTTATATTATTTAAATAAGATTCGTTTCGGTTAGTGATTTTCGCGGATGTCATTGCACAAAAGATGCAAATCTTAAACTTATGTGGCAAACCGTGGTACCAGTGTATTTATTATATAGAAATAAAGCCCGCCTAACGAGAGTTTCTGAGTTCCGAGATGACATTTCTCAATTCCAAATTAACATTTCTCGGTTTACCAGGAGGCAATTTACAAACTATCAGATTATATATTGGGCAATATGAGTAGGAATGTGTACAAATCAATCAGTCTTTCTCATATACCTGCTTAAGCTGTTTTTGTGTAAGGAGTATACACCTATAAATAAAGTTCGTATATGTGGATATACTAGCGTATTCAGTATAAACTTATATTTGCTAACGCTATGCGATGGGTCAGAAGGTATGTTATTGCTGGGAAATGTGATTGTAAAGATCCCACTTTGATGTTATCCATATGTGTCAATATATATGAGTGAAATGATACTGATATGAATAGGAACTTCTAGTTTCAGAGGTACCTGTTTATTTCTAGTTAACTGGATGTTCCCTTCCTGTACACGAATATTCAACATAAAGATGACATAAATGTATGAAAGGAAGTTTGGGATGCTCGAATAGCGAAATGTTCATCAACCGAATGTTTAAATAAAATGCTTACGATTGAACTGAAGAACAACAACTTTGCCTTTCATGGAGGTCCATACAAAATTAGACTACCCAAGGTCATGCAAATAAATTAATCTTTTATTGAAAAAACTCACATAAATGTGAATATAGTGTTCCCCAGAAGCTGCCATCAATCTTGCATTACTTAAGGTATAAAGTTTAGCCAAGCACTCAAATTCCTCCACAGAAACTACCAGTTCAATCCGCCATTTTCTACATAAGAAAATGCCTGTACCAAGTCAGGAATATGACAGTTGTTGTCCATTCGTTTGATGTGTTTGTGCTTTTGATTTTGCCATTTGATTAGGGACTTTACGTTTTGAATTTTCCTCGGAGTTCAGTATTTTTGTGATTTAACTTTTTACCAAGAAATGGTTGAAAAAAAAAAAAAAAAAAAAAAAAAAATAATGCTAGAACCCGGAAAAAACCACTATAATTCATGTATTTTGCTTAATTTTTTGTTCACACAATGAAAGTATACCGCTTATATTCCCATATGTTTTTTTTTTTTAGAATAATGTACTCTTCTTGTATGACAAACTTGCAATCAAACCATTCACTGAATACCAGCAAAAAACCATTTGTTGTTGTCAGTATTAATAAAACTTACGTTAGAGAAATGCAGTCCAGCTGCTATGTTTATATGGAATAACATGAAGGCTTTTTGTGTATGGTTATTGAAATAATAATATTTCTTAATAAAAGTTTATGCTGAAAATTAAAAAAAAAAAAAAAAAAGAAAGAAATGGCTGATTCAACTCGAAAACCGCTTCCAAAAATGGGATAAAAACACACGGTTATTAAGAAAAGTTTTCACATAGTGGGGAGGAGGCAAATTTCGAAGGTATTTCTTGGTCTAGAATGGACGTTACTGCACAAACAGAAAATATCATATAAAAGTCCCAAAATTTGTTCAATAATACTAATTAAAGAAACTTATATACGAAACAGACATATTGAAAATCAACAGCGTATTGACAAAAAAATAGCCACAACAGGTACCGACTATTTCAGTTGATATGAGATGTATTTTCCTGTTTTGTAAGTGAAGTTTATAACGTTTGTAACGTTTATAACGTTGTAATTGTTTATTCTCACCTAATCTTCCAGTTAAACTAGACCAAGTGTAAATTAGATATTGATATGGGTATTTGAACAAAATATGTGAAAACGCTCAGTAAATTTATCGATTTCGTTCTATATTTTTAATTGATATATACCAATAAAACATTGGAAAACTACGTTAGATACAATGTAAAACGAAATATTGTATGTATCATTGATTGAAAGTGGCTTTACGCCTTACAACAAATATTAGTAATATTAAATACGATAACATATAGAAACCCGTTTGGTATAGACCTACATGTTGATTCGGAGTGTATAGTGCTGCTGGAAAAAAAACCAATTCACTTGAACCTTGTCAATTTATTTTGTTAGACTCGACCGACAATTAAACCCAGACTTATTGTATTTGGTAGTGAGCAGATTACCATAAGAGAGTTGTTGCATGATATCATGATTAATGTTTATCTTTCAGCAACTATAAATGTTGTTAGCAATTACGCATGTCAAGCCCTATACTTTCAATACTCATATAATGGTTTCGTTCCTACTCATATTGCCCAATATATAATCTGATAGTTTGTAAATTGCCTCCTGGTAAACCGAGAAATGTTAATTTGGAATTGAAAAATGTCAACTCGGAACTCAGAAACTCTCGTTAGGCGGGCTTTATTTCTATATAATAAATACACTGGTACCACGGTTTGCCTCATATTGTTTCCCATTCTACTATACAGGGTCCAAAAAAAGGTCATAAAGTTTCTTATCACAGTGGATTATGATATTCATCAGTCGGTTTGTATATAAGTATAGATCATAAATTCGAAAGTTATTGGACGAAACGCACGTCTTGCGTATTAAATTTTAAACCTGGTACCTTTTGTTAGATATTATTCGTATGTTTCTCTGTCCTATATGTTCTCCCATTTATTTGTATTGTAGACCTGTCATGTAATGTTGTCATTTTAATGTTATATTTAACATTGCCATAAAAGCGGGAGGTTTGACTAGCCACAAAACCAGGTTCAACCCACCATTTTTTTCTTAAAAATGTCCTGTACCAAGTCAGGAAAATGGCAATTGTTATCGTATAGTTTGTTTCTGTGTGTGTTGCATTGTCGTTTGTTGTTTGTTCACTTCAGTGTTTCTGTTGTTTCGTTGTCCAAATGTACTAAATTGTATTGTTTATTTGCGTAATTCTCTGTCCGTAATGTTGTACTGTATTCATGTCATGTAATTGTGTCATTTTAGTGTTATATTTAATATTGCCATAAAAGTGCGAGGTTTGGCATGCCACAAAACCAGGTTCAACCCACCATTTTTTTCTAAAAATGTCCTGTACCAAATCAGGAAAATGGCAATTGTTATATTATTCGTTTTTGTGTGTGTTACATTTTAATGTTGTGTTTCTGTTGTGTCGTAGTTCTCCTCTTATATTTGATGTGTTTCCCTCAGTTTTAGTTTGTAACCCGGATTTGTTTTTTTTTCTCAATCCATTTATGAATTTCGAACAGCGGTATACTACTGTTGCCTTTATTGAATCCATATTTACTAAATAGAAAATGAGTATATATTCACAATCCCAAACATATACTAGTACTACAGATATTTACAATAAGTACAATGGCACATTTCACAGTACATACACAGCACAACATAACTAAAAAGAAAAAAAAAATACCTAACTCCCAGGAAAATTCAAAACGGAAAGTTCCTAATCAAATGGCAAAATCAAAAGCTCAAACAAATTAAACGAAAGGATAATCAACTGTCATATTCCTGGCTTGGTACAGGCATTTTCTAATGTAGAAAATAGTGGATTGAATCTGTTTTTAAAGCTAGCTAAACCTCTCACTTGTATGACAGTTGCATAAAATATCATTATATTGACAACAATGTGTGAACAAAACAAATAGACATAACAGGTAAAAATGTCAGAAATAGGGGTGCTACAGATAACATTGTGGTATAATCTTAATCACTATAAAAACAAACAAATATGTCAACAAAGAAAAACAAATAAGCATATAGACAAAGCACATTAGAAAAAACGAAAGACAAGAATACAAAAATTTACCATCGCACAATAAAACAATGATGGGATGTATAAGTACCGAGTCACGTCAAATGGATATTAGCAAAAATAGACTAAAAGTAATAATTTACAAAGACAAATAAAAGAACACTTTAACACGTTATTAAGATGATTAACAACGTCAGTACCTAGAATCTATACTTCAAGACAATCACGTATTATTTGTGAAGTTGATTCTGAATATTTATCAACAAGGTCTTGGTATCTTCCGATGAACTTTTTCAGAAAAAGGACAAGACATTCTTTGACATAACCCTGGTTCATTAACTTTCTTACAGCATATAACAACACTGTATTTACAATTAAAAACGTTTTTATAAACGATATTGTAGACACTATCCACTGATATAAAACTTTATTGCATTCGAAGTTACCATGCGAGCTATATCATTTAAAGGTAAGTTTAACATAACAGCTGGTTTATTTTTAGCAATCTCGATTACTAGAGATGGGCATTCATTCCTTCTACCAGTGTCACTGATGTAAGGGGCGTCAGTCTCAATTACTAGGTTTTGCAAATGTATATCACAAACGACGCTTCTGATATCAATATACATTTTATTCATTATTTGAAACAGGTTATGCCGAATGTGCAACTTAACAAGCCCCTTCCAGTTTCTGTAAGTCTTCAAACTATCGACGAAACAATGCTTATGAATAGGATCCTTACGATGTAGAATCTTTATCTAGAGATTTCTTTCAAATATGTCTACCTGTCAGTACTTCAAGATTAAACAATCTACTACCCAAATTATTCTTTGATTCCAATTTGACCTCATTTGGGAGAATTTTGAAAGTAAATCTATATAACGGCTATCTTTTCTGGGATTACACCTATCACTTTTTGTGGGCCAATGTTGAGGGTAGTAGTAATGAGCGACAATCAGACTACTAGTTCTTGTGATTTCTTTGTGATGTCTGACAAGAAAAAAATCAATTTATCAGAATATCTGGTCTTTTTGTAGTATATATCAAGATGGAAATGTGTGTCGACCAAATT